TTTTTTTTTTTTTTTTTTTTTGGTACCGGGGATCGGACTCGTGTAATTTTATTGTATTCTCTTCATGTTTACAGTGAGCCATTCTGGCTAAGATCATCATTGAATAGCAGAGTGCTTTTACTTCTCATTTGTCCCAAATTCACCTTAACCTAGTAAAGTCCACAGTCTCAACATAAATTCCCACTTGTTTTCTGTACCAGAGGTAGCAAATTGCAACAGTGTGTGGGTCATATCTAGCTATTTGCAGTCTGAGTTTAAATGGTTTTTACTTTGAGAAGCATCGTTTAAAAATATATACAACACTGTTAATTTTAAGTATGGTAAATAGTATTGTGATTATGCTCTTTCAAATAAAAACAGAAGACCTTATGTTTTCCAGATCCCTAATGAAATATTTATACCTCAGATGACATGATGTCTGGCTTTGTTTCAAAATACGAGAGGGCAGAAAGTGGGTAGGATTATAGATAGAGACAAGATTGCCCATGGATTGATAATTATTGAAGGTGAGTAGAAATTCATCATTCTGTTTTGTCTACTTTGGCATTTAAAATGCAAAAAAGAAAATAAAAAACCCGCAGACTGCATTTGACCAAAAAGCCTAAAATATTTACTGCCTAGCATTTTACAGAAAGTTTGCTGACCCCTGTGATGACTCTCAGGAAATAAGTTCTCCATTTGTCCTGCTTAAGTGGGGAAGGCAGCAGAGTCCAGTCATACCTGGGTGTCTTAGCTGCCAAATCCTGCTAATAATTATCGACTCCTGCAAAAAGCACATCCATCTCAAGTACCTGTAATGCTGTCATGACAAACTCGGATCTTTGCTGGTATCCATATGTCATGTTGAGTTTGTAAAGGAAGTTTCCACTTCTAAGAAACAGGAGCGTATTACTGTTATTATGCTTAGGGGTGTATAACACTCAGGAGTTGTTAGAGTGGCAGGAGTGTACCACTTCTCATATTTAAAGGATACTGAGATCTTTCAGAAAGATTGGACAGATCATAGGGTGGTTTATATTTTTGTTTCCTTCTTGATTTTTGTAGACTGGCCCTCCTGAGGCCATAGTGGAGCTGGGCTGGTTTGGAACTCTGGGTAAAGAGATCCTCCTGCCTCCTGAGTAGGTGGATGCTGGAGGCCTGGATCTTAGTCTTTAAACAAAACATCCTGATAATCTTTAAACCCATATTAATAGAGATCTGACAGCTCATCCAATAGAAAATAGGCAAATTATGGCTGTAGGCAACAGGGAAGGGGGATGTTACCAGAACCTCTGCAGTAAGTCCTAGTCTCCTGTGAGCCCTGGCAGCACAAGGCGAATTAACTTACTATACAGGAAAGGTAGAAAAATGAGACTTAGAGAAGCTGAGCTTTGGGACTGATCAGTGCCTCTCTGGGCAGCAAAGATGAGAGCCCCCAGCTTCCCAAAACTTTATTCAGTACATTGGGGGAAGCAGATGTAACAGACGACACTGGAGTGGTGGAATTCCTAGATCAATGAGGAACTATGCAGATGAAGATTTGTTTCCTTCCGGGATGTCTCCCTCAGGTGTGGTCTTGCCCCTGGAGCATCACAGCATCTTGGGATCTTGAGGTCTCAGTTGTGACTGGAGGCCAAAATGGAATTATGTCTCATTGCCATAGCTGGCCTGTAGGCAGGAGAACTAGGCCTAATCAAATGATTTTTCCCTAAAATTATGTAGCATTGCTCCCAACATACGGCTATTGTTTAGCCAAATAAGTCCCAGGCAAGACGTTAATAAGCTCTTTTCAGGCTGTCTGCAGTATCTTTTTCTACCCTTATTTTTTCTATTTCCTGCTGTGTGTCCATCATTCCTTCAATATATCTACTTGGAGTTTTCCAGGCTCTCACCTCCAGCAAGTGGCCTTCTCCATCCATAGCAGCTATGCCTCAGTCTACCTTCAAAGGCATGCTCAGTCTTACCTTGAGGCCGGAGCCTTGCCTCTGCTTCTAGCACCTGAATGCAAGTTGAAAATAGTAGCTGCTATGTACTGAGATAAACATATATGGTATCAGTCTAAAGCAATCTGCTTTGTATTAGTTGCCTCAGGGCTTAGAGGGTACTTGATGGCAGGACTTCTGCTAAAAGCACTGCTCCATGAATTTCTGTGTAAGGAACAGCAGTGAGAGGTCACCATAAAGTACAGATTACAAAGCATAGTGATAGGGCTGGGGATTTAGCTCAGTGGTTCCGCCGCCTGCCTTACAAAGCATAGTGATAACCAGAAGAGGAGTGCATCAGAAGGGAAAACTGGTGTTAGCTTTGGTTGGTTTTTGCGGTACCGGGGATCGAACTCAGGGCCTCGCGCTTGTGAGGCAGGTGTGGTACCACTGAGCTAAATCTCCGGCCCTATGATAGCTTTGGTTTGGAAAGTGGTTATTGTTAACTTTGAAGACTCTCCAGTTACTGGTACCTGCAGGGGAGAGAGGGAACTAATTCTTGATTAACCTCGAGGATTATTTAGGAAATGCCCTTTAATTTGTCAGAAAGAGTGAAAGGAAGGTGTTTGGTAGATTTGGGTGATTCCCAGTTGGGACTGAAGAATGTTTATTACTTTTTTCTGTACCCAGGGAAAATACATAGCTGCTGCCCGCAGTGTGGTGCTTTTTAGTGATGAAAACTGACAATTCTTTGGCTTTTCAACTTTTCGTTGAATGTTATCTGTGATGTAAAAGTAACCGACCCTTCTAGAGTCACACAGGCATCTCTTAAGTTGGAGAATTCAGGAGCCTGAGTTTAAAAGGTGCCTGTAGTGGGATTTGAGATCTGGAACAAGAAGGTAATTGCAGTAATTGGGATTGGGAAGTTAGTAAAACCTAGGAACTGTAGTCTGCTTGAGTGGGTTACTGTTTGAAAGGACTTGTTAAACTCTTAAAGCCCTGAGAAACTTTAGAACACTATAGAGGGCTGGAGATTCAGCTCAGACTTAGAGCTTTTACCTAGCATGCAGAAGGCCCTGGATTCAGTCCCTAGCACCTCCAAAAAATAAAGCAAGCTCCGAAGAGCTAAGAGAGACAGCTAGAAACCTCAAAGAAAATGCAGTTCAGCTTTTATATAATTATGTTTTTGTCTGAAATTCTTTAATGTATTGGCTGACAAGTAGGAGTTTAATGTGGCCTAATTACTTTGCCCCTTGTGTTGTTTTCCTAGAAATGGATGCAGGAACTGACTCTTTCTCTTCCTCTCTGGAACAGAATGTAGACTATTCTTCCCTCTGCTTGGGACCTTTGTAGCCAGGCTCCTTTGTTCACTGAAGCGGAGCTAGGCAGAATGTGAGATCAGGAAGCCATTCAGAAGGTAGTTATAGCTCAGAATAGTCTAGCAACTGGTTTCTTGGAAAAGGGGATACACCTTCAGATTGGGAGACATGGAAAGCCCTTTCTGTACCCACTCAGCACAGGATTGGGGCAACTGCAGTAGAGGGCAGCAGTCAAGATGTATACAGTGGTGCCTCGGTTCATGAACTCCATTCCACGATTCTGGGGAAGACGGCTGTGGTTATGTTCATTACCTCATGTGGAGCTTATGAACAGAAGCACTCGTGAGCCAAGGTATTACTGTATTTACTGCGTGCAGGTTTTAGGTCTGCCAGTTGTCTGGGAGGGATAATAGAAGGTAGGATATCGCGTATCCTGTCCTGTGGTGTCTCAGAAAATGAGTTCTTCCTTGGCTGGGAAAATGAGTTCTTCCTTGGAGGGGCCTGATGTATTTGAAGTTGAATCTGGGTTTGCAATTTCAAGTCACCCTCTGGCCTCAGGAATGTGGTGGTGTGATTTGGGAGGATTTAAATTTCCTTTTTGAAGTCAGGTTTTTTCAAAAAGGCTGGCCTGATTCTAACAAAATTGCCAAGGACCTGCCCCCCCCCCCCCCATTACACAAAGGGTACATTGTTTATGAACCTGGTATAGTCTCAATGAGACACCACATCAGATGCAACCACCAAGCCTTGCATAAGCCCTGATTAGAATGTGTTTTGAAACAACTAGGCCAGTAGCCAGAGTGGAATTCTTCAAAATGGGACAGATGTCCAGAGAATGGACTACCACCCTCCCCAAGAAGCCAGTCTGGGATTACAACTTCCAGTGGCCCACTTTAAACATTACTTTGGAAGATGAGTTTAAGTTTTTTCAACATAAAATCCAAAAACTTATCTTTATGAACAGCCTAGTAGCCGTCGCTTGTGAAACAGTTCTTGCCCACATTTGCTATGGGATGGTGGTTTGGCTTACTGAGGTAGCTCTGTACCTTTTACATCATGAAGGTCTCAGGAAGTTAACAGTACACTTGGTTGAAATTGCCGTGTAAAAAGTAGGTTGTGGATTATCACACTTCATAGGTCTTATATGAAAGTAACAAAACTTTAAAAGTGCCTTAGCAGACAGTCTTGGGAGGAGAGTGCATATTGAGGTATCTCTATCTTCCTGTAAGATTTTAGGATAATACCAGGTTACAAAAAGAGTCAATTACTTTTATTTTCTTTGAAATAGAATCCCCCCCCCCCCTTCTCTCTCTCTTAGAAGCTTTCTCTCAATAAATTCTTCCTACCCTTAAAAGAAATAGAATATAGGGCCAGGGGATTTAGCTCAGTGGTTCTGCCACCTGGCCTCGCAAGCAGAAGGACCCGAGTTTGATCCCCGGTACCAAAAGCAAAAAAATAGAATATGTACTTGGAGCGTCTTTGCTGTCTGCTGTCAGGGAAGTAGAGCCTTGTGGTCATGTGCATCTGTTTTTATCTTTCAGGGTTCATAAGGGTGCTGGGGAGCAGTCTGGGCTGCATCGGTTGTGGGGTCAGAAGATTAAGCAGGGTCTGAAATGGGAGCTTACACCTAGCACAGATCCAGCTCTGTGGGGAAGGGCCTGTGTCCTTTTAAGGGAAATGGTAAGAGTGATCACTGGCTTCTGTAGGTTGGAAGTCTTAGGGATGTGTGACCACCACAGAGTAAACTGAGTCTCTGCACACAAGAGGAAAGTGCCATCCATATTGAGTGGCGCTGTTACTGAAACAGCTTGTTCTTCAAGATCAGGCTTTGAAACAAACCCAATAAAAAGTATCTTTTATTTTCATATTTAAAAAAATTTTTTCTATGATAATGCATTAACAGTATAAAAATACTTTGCTACATTGATCCATGTTTCTAAGATTTGTTACAACACTACACTAGAATATGTGAACTTTGGATTCTGCGTGGGGACTAAAGGCTTTTATTGAAGGGCATGTGTGAAAACAGAGCCCTTTTCCTTTGGCTTCAGGTTATGTACAGTGAGGAGGCAAAAAAACACAAAACCATTAAATTAAAAAGACTTGTTTTTCAAGGCTCAGGGTTGAAGCTTGGCTCAAAATGGGAAAGTAGGCTGTGGTAAAAACCTGTGCCCACCACTAGAGGTTTCTGGACTCCTTGCCTTAGTTGCACTGGTCCTTCTGCCTGCAGCCCCATAGGAAAACTGAAGCTGACTGGTCTGGATGCTGGATAGGTGGCTGTTGGAAACCTGAGGTTTGCCCTCAGCTGCCCAAGAGCTGGCTCCATCCACACTAAGCTGGAAATGAAACAGAAAGCGCTGTAAGGGAGGGATGCACACTGGAGTTGGGCTAGGACTTTGTCCACCTATTGAAACTAAGCTTCCTGTCTCTCATTGCCTGGGGCCTTGCTATCACAGCTTTTTAGGCTGCTGGGTTTCTCAGGAAACATTTCCCAGTAATCTCAAGTAGAGCCACCATCCACACTTGCCTGACAGGAGAGTGTCAGACTGTTCCTGTTGCCTTGCTGGTAGGACTAAACTTACTCCATGCCCTCTTCCTCATGCAAATCCCTGAGAACATGGTCAGAGGCTTCCCTCTAGTCCAGCTTATGGATTGCGGCTGGTGTCCTGTATATAGCTTCTCCAGGCCCTGGAGAACTGTTGTCTTTTTGAGCTTTGTGGTTGTTGCCTTGCTCACATTTGATAAACGAGGTCATTCTTGGTCCATGAAGGGTCTGGTATGGGGAGGGTATGGCAGAGGGGACAGAGCCACTGGTAGAGAAGGTAGCTGGGCTCCATCCAGTCCATCTATGACCTACAGCAGAAAAGCAGGGGAGGCAGGGGTATCTGACTATCAAAGACAAGTTGTTAAACAAAAAAACCCCTAGATGCAGGTTGCCGTAGTCACCAGGATGTCCTTAATGAGATGACATGGGGACAGACTTGATCACCACTTGAGTGTTTAAATTGATGACCTCAGATTCAGGCAGTTGTTCAACCTCTTGGCCTGGATGCTGAGGTTAACAGGGCCTCTGCCGCCTCCTCTCAGGGCTGGGGCTGTGCCCCTGGAGGAGGCCCAGTGTCCTGCATGTGCTAGGCTGCCTGTCTCTGAGACTCCTGTTGCTGAACTTGTGTGCTCTGCAGGATGCTGTAGGGGCCCTGTGGGGGTCCAAGGGCTGGGAGGCTGAGGGCAGCGGAAAGACCTGGGGATGTTGGTGCAGGGTCCACAGGGCTAGCAAGCAGTTCTGTGGGGAAGTGGGGCAGCAGGAGGTATGAGGGCGAGTCCTGGGGACCTGGGGACCTGGGGCAGCCTAGAGCACTGTCATCGGAAGGAACGGGGCTGGGGCAGCGGCCTTCTCCGGGTAAGTACCGAGTGCATTTCTTTTTCCTCCTAGGAATAGTGAAGAGAGTTATCTGTAAACAGAGGGTGAATTCATAGTCATACACCACAACCGAAAAATGCTTTCCTTGCACAGGCCTGGCTGACCTCTTGCCCCTCTCCCCAGGACTTGGGTGCCATGCCTGTGCCTTCAGGTCCGAGTCAGTCCCACAGCCCCACAGGGCTTGGCCCAGACTATGGGAGGTGCAGTTCCCAGAACATCCGCAAGGTGGCACGGGGAGCCTAGGCCTGTGGGCTGCTTGTTTTCCTGGCATCCAGTGTCTAAACTTTTGCTTCCTGTGTTTGTGGGGCTCAGACCTGCAGGATCCATGAGGCTTGCAAGATCTGGATTAAAACAAGGGGCTGCAATGCCTATGACTTTGTGGATGAGCAGTCCCAGTCATTGGAGCTGGGCTAAGGGAAGAAGAAATGGACAGTGTGGCTCATCCGTTACCACCCTAGAGTGCTGTGGGTCACATTGGTCTTTTGAGTAGTATGGAACGTGGACGGGATAGGGCCTCTGAGGACATGGTTGCTTCCCACTGTGTGCATACTGCACACTTTATTCCTTGCCCCACAACCAAGTCCTCCTTTGGAGGGGCTTGACACATGTTCTTCAGAGCTACTGACCTTAGTCACTGCAGTTTCTCAGCCCTGGCCCTGCTAGGCCCAGTCCGAAACCTAAACGAGGCAACTTCAACCACTTGGCAGGTAAATCTTTTCATACCCACAGGTATTTTCTGTAAAATACACCATTTTGGTGTATTTTTTGGTGCTTCACAGCCCTCTGGCTGAGGTACCCCAGGGTACCTCTGCTTCTCTCCCACCCACTCTGGTCTCAGTAGGCACAAGATACTGCCGGCATCCAGGTTATTTAACTGGTTCTCTGATGTCATCCTCTTGTTAACCTCAGATTTAAGGGCTCAGGGCTGTAAAGGCAGGGATTCCACCATGAAGTGGAGAAGCTGGCAGGCCGTGATGCTCAAGGCTGGAAGCAGGGAGGGGTCAGGCTACGTGAGTGACAAGTGAGATTTTTCTGAGGACCTGCTAGGCCTGGCTGGCACTGGAGGCAGCTGTTTTAAGTTCGCACTCGTTTAAGTTTGTACTCCTCCTACCTAGACCCAAGTGATTTTCCCTTCAAGCTATGTTCAGTGCTCACTCACGTTCTTAGGGCATAGGTTCCCCTATCTCCTGGGTGTGCTAGGGGTTGAGGGGCTGAGGAGGGGGCTGCAGGCCCAGCAGAACATGTGCAGTCAGGGAAGCAGCTTAAAGCACAGGGAGAATGATGGTGGGGACAAACCCACCTGCACGGACCACACCAATCCGTCTGCTGGTTGAGGCCAAAGCGAGCACGGCATTTCTTAGGTGAGCCAGGGTCTGCTTACAGCCATGCCAGAGAGGCAGAGCAGGGCAGAGGGCGAGTAGGCAGGCAGGCAGCGGGGCAGAGCAGGGCCCAGAAAGAAGAGGTGACATCAGTGTTAGCCAGTTACAGACACCCCACAGCCCCCACAGGCAGAGTGACCTCTCCAGGGCACAGCCAGCCCCAGTGGGAGCCCTAGGGCCTACAGCAAGGTATCAGGAAAGGTGAGTACCCTGCTGGGCAGCGGAGTGGGAAGAATGGCAGGATGGGAAGATTGGAGAGGGACCCTCAGGCTATTCCTCGGTGTGGCTTGGAGGGCTGCAGAAGAGCTTAGGGGGGAAGGTCTTGGCAAACTAGTCTTCGCTGCTCTGGAGCCGTCTATTGCCTCCCCAACTGCCTATTTTGTCCAGTTTTTCTTCATTCTTGCCACTGTCCCACCTTTCTGACCCATCTTACTGCAAGGGCTAACACAAGGCCACAGCTTCTGACAGTTATTTCCAGACGGAAAGGAGGAACCATTCTTACCCTCAGAAATGGGACTTGGGACTCTGCCCTGCTGTCTGCGAAGCAAAGCTGCAAGCTAGGATTGGGCTAGCACAACTAAGAGTCATGGGTGTAGAGTCTGAATCAGCAGAGTTGGAAGCAGGAATTTGCTCACAGGAAGCCCTACAGCAGCTTATGGGCTCCCCTGATCCTCGACACAGAGTGCTTTGAATTCCCCTGAAAAATGGTAGGAGATGAAGTGGTGATGGAGAAACCACCAGGTACCAGCCAGCAGGTGTGACAGCTGGGCCTTGCAGCCTGCTCCTGCTCCGCATCTCAGTAGGCCTAGCCAGTGTGCACTGTAGTTCTGTGTGGAGCCACAAAGTTACTCCCTAACTTCTCTGGGAGAGGCCAGCTGTGAACAGGGCTGGCAAAGGTGGCAGGGACACAGCCAGCACCTGCCAAATGAGTCAGCTTCCGCTGGTCATGCAAGGGACTCAGTACAGCTTTTCTTGCATGGACACTGGATTTGTGAGGTGCAGGGCTTGTTTTCAGAGGCCGCGAGTGGCCAGCAGGGCTGGTCTTGAAATGGGGGTGTGGGGAGCAGCCTCTGCTCCTCCGGAGGCAAGGCCTCACCTGTGGTGGATTCCTGGTGCTTCTCCCTCGAGCGCCTCTTCTTCTTCCCCTGTGGGGAACAAAGGGAGGAATATTTAGATCTGGGAAGTACACGCTGGGCTTTGCAGCCTGCTGGCCTCCCCGACTGCTCGTGGGGTTCCTGGCCTAGAGTCGTCCTACTTTAAGTCCCTGGTGTTTCTTGATTGCAGTTATTGCTAGGCTACTGTGGGGTACATTTGTGAGCTGGTCCCTCTCCCAGTGTGGTCTCCTAAACTGATTGGAAAGACATTTCTAGGCCCCTTCTTCCCCATGTGCCCCAGCTAAGTACTGGGCAGCAGCCTGTGTAAATGGACTGCGGCGTGGAAAACAGTGTGGGCTTCCTTTGAGGGGCACTTCCCTGGCTTGCCTCTTCTGAGCTAGCCATGGGAGGCCCCTGTGATGTCAGGACAGTATTTCTGTTTCCCTGCCCAGAATGTGGCCTGGGTAAGGTATGGTATCTCCAAGGTGCCCCGCCCCACCCCTGCTGTGTGTCTGGGCACTCACGTAGTTGTCCCGCGCTGACCAGCCTGGGTACAGCTGCATGTGCAGCTGCCTTTCCTTGCGGGCCAGCTCATAATACTTGGCCTGCTCTTCCCGAGACAGTGCATGCCACTGTTAGGAGGAAGGGGGCAGACGGGGTACATCAGGGGAGCCATTAGGGTGAAGAGGATGGGGCTGTCCCTGCCAGCCCACTGGGCCGTGGCCTCACCCTGCGACCCAGGATCTGGTTGATAGCAGCGCTCTCCTTGAGTGTGCACTCTGCAATGACCTTGGCTCTCATCTCCTTCATGTACAGCATGAACGCATTGAGGGGCTTCTTGATGGTTGGCTTCTTAGCCTCCTTCTCTGCCTTGGATTCTGCCTGGGTCTTCCTGAGAGGCAAATACCCAGCTGCTTGGAAGGGCTCCTTCCCTAATCCCACCACTCCTCCTCCACACACATGCACGATACTAGTTTTGTGACTGGAATCTTGTTTGTTTTTTTGGTACCGGGGATTGAACTCAGGTCCTTGCGCTTGCAGGGCAGGCGGCGGCACCGAGCTAAATCCCCGGCCCTGGAATTGTTTTTTTAACTGTTCCAAATGAGTGAGCAGAAAGCTAAGTAACTGTTCTGATAGGAGTACTTTTACAGCCAGGTGGAAAAAGCACACGTGTAAGGCCTTCTCAGCCCCTCCCATCTTGGCTCAAATAAAATCTTTGTTCCTCACCCGACCCACCCGTCCTGCTTCTGAGGATTAAAACAGTGGTCAGGGCCCAGGATTTAGCTCAGTGGTCACCGCCTGCCTTGCAAGGTCCTGAGTTCAATCCCCGGTACCAAAAAACAAAGAAGTGGTCAGTAGTCAGAGCCCAAGGACAGCCCTGGAGCCACCAGGCAGCAGGCCCCGGGCCTGTCGGAAGGTGTGTATCCTGGCTGACCAGCACCTGCGTCCCTGCCCATCCCACATCTTGCTGCCCTCCTCCCTTTGCGTGTGCGCACTTACAGGCTGCGGTCATACGGCTGCAAGTCCTGCTTCCCTGAGGAAGGCACGATGGCTGGGTGGGGGATGGCTGCTGGGTGACCAGGTACACCAGAGCCCAGCATCAGGGACGGGTGGGTGAACCTAGAGGTGGGAGGCGAGTCGACACTGAGCCCAAAATTGCAGGCCAGATCTCCGGACAAGGCCCTGCACACCACACAAGGGTGCAGGTGAGCAAATATGCACCCCGGTGGCCCGGACACGAGTGCACAGATACAAATACGGAGGCCGATCCTCGTCTGTGCTGCCACATTTCCCACTGCCGGAGTCAAACCTAGGCCTCTCTGGGGCTGGCACGGCACTGCCTGAGCATCCCTGCTGACTTTTCAGCCTCCTCTCTACCCTCTGCTTCCCGCCTCTCCTGCCCCAGCCAGCCCCAACTGCTGCTGCTCCCTTTTGCCCCTTTCTCAGGAAATCTGATCCTTCCCACAAGGCTTTCTTCCGACTAGCAAGCCTGCTTGGGGTCTCCTCAGGGCCCCCTCATTACCCATGTGGCTGTTTAGCTACTGGCGCTGTGTGTAAACCTCCTACCCTGGGCTGTGACCTCCAGGAGGGCTGGAAATGCCTGCTGAGTTCCTTGCTGCTGCGTGCCAGGCACCAGGTCTGTCCCTGAGGGAAGGAGCTAAATGAGGAAACACACGCACACTCGCCTCCCACCTCACTTCTTGCTGCTCTTGGAGACCACTCTGCCCTTTGCGTGCACAGGCACGGGAACGCTTAGGTAAAGGGGAGGTGCGACAGGCGAGTGCACAGACATCTGCACAGGGACTGAGCCTTGTGCGCATTGCTGTCTTGGCTGCCCGGTGGTGCTCTGCTGCCTGGGCTAGGCCTCTCACACTCCTAGCTTCATTCTCAGGCACAGGGCGGCAGGGGGCTGCAGGATGACAGACGGACAGATGGACAGACGACTAACACGGTAAGCACTAGCCTGCGCGTGGCCTTGTGTGGGCACTGAAGCCTGGGCAACAGGAAGCAGGAGCCTGGCTGCAGGCGTAGGGGACTCACCTGGGGTAGGGGGCGCCAGGGGCTGCGGTGGGGGCAGGGAAGTGCTGTCTATATCCGCAGGAAGGGGACAGGGGGTAGAGAGGAGGGCTGGGCCTGTGGTTGGGAGAGACAGCTGTTAGCAGTCTGGCTGTGAGCCAGACGTGGAGAAGGACTTTCACACCTTGCTTGGCCTGACCCTCGGCCTCAGCTGGGATCGCGCCAGTGTGTTCTGAGCATCTGCCACCAGGGGGCAGCTTGTGCTGCTAGCGTTTCCTCTGCAGGCTTGAATGGTGCTCAAGGGGTGGAGGTGGCAGCTTTCTCCTGGGACCCAGCTAAGCCTCCTGAGTTTCCTTGACAATACCGGGTTGGTACCTGTCCTAAGGCCTTCACGTTCCCACTTTGCCCGTTTCAACTTGTCCTTATCCTGAGTCTTGCTTGGCTAAGTGACGGTTTTTCCTCCGAGCCCAGAGGTCCCAAGCTGGATGAGTGCCCCTGGGGCTCCTACAGTTCCCAAAGCAAAGCTAACAGTGCCTGTAGCTGCCTGCTTCTCCCCTGGGTCACTCGCTAGGCACAGTTCTCAGAGGGCGGGAACCTAAGAATCCTTAGCTGTGCTTCTGCTCAGAACCCTGCCTGCATAGAAGGCAGTGCAAAGAAGGCTAAAGTACCCCAACTTTTCTCCTGGAAGCCAGAACACAGCCCCCCCCGCCGTGCCTCCCTCCAGGCCCAAGTCTGTTGGGCTTTGGGGCTTCTGGCCTGTAGGCCCCTAAAAAGGCTGGCCAGAGATCTGCTTCCGTAGAGCTGTGGCCAGGCCCCACAGGGCTGGGCTCTGAGCACTTGCCTCACCTTGATCCTAGGAGCACTCCTGACTTGTATCTAGAATGGAGCTTTGTTCAGAGAATCTGGAAATGGAAGAGTGCTGGACATGGGTAAAGTGCAGAGGGGCTGGTGGGCCCTGGCAGAGCCTCTGGCCTTCTCTGCTGCTAGGTGGCTGCCCCAGCCTCGAGCGGCTGGACACCTGCCAGGTCATGCTGTGGTTGGTGAGCGAAAGGCCAGCTTGCCCGCTAGGCCCAGTTCTCGCCGAGGATAGACCGTGAGCCCAGTCAGGCCTGCGACTTGGGGATTCTGCCTGCCTTCTCCTGGCTGTGCCTTAGCAGACCGACCAAGCAGGCTGGTTACTCAGGCGGGCACCAAAGGGACTCTGCTCCTTAAGCAGCTCCTTAACCAGCACTGAGGCCAGTGGACGCATGCCCTGCTCCCTGGGAAGCCGAGAAGCAGCGCTTTCTCTGGCCTACCTTCCTCGTATACTCCTGGCTCAGGTGGACCCTGATCAGCCCAGAGTTCTCCCAGGAGGGAGAGTTTGGGTCCTCCAGAGCTGGGACCAACCTTCAGCTCTCCTGCCTCCCTAGAGGAAGTGTGTTAAGCTGCCTGCAGAATGCCCACAGGCCAGGGGGCCACAAGAACCCCTAGTTGAGAGCCAGGTTGGGGCAGGGCTGCCCGCCTCCCTGTGTGACGTGTACAGAACTGGTCACAGGGCGCACAGCACAGAGATGAACATGGAAGGACAGGTGCAGCTCCACCCAGCACTTTCCCCATGGGGTCTGCACTCACCAGCTCACAGTGTGGGGCAGCTGTCCCATGCTGCCTGAGGTCAGAGAGTAGAAGCTGGAGAGGTCAGGAGTCTGTAGGGGCCTGTGAACTCCTGCAGTGGAAAGGAACCAGGCACCAGGTAAGGGGCAGGCTGGCCTTGGGCTGTGTGTGGGGTGACTTTAGCAGTTACTGTGTCCTAGAGCCATCTACAGGGAACTCCTAAGACCCTTCCTCCCTTTGCTGGAGGTCAGGCATGAACTTGCTTGTTCCAGGCCATCCTGAAGTAGGAACAGTGGCCGTCTGACAGGCAAGGGAACCAAGGACACAGGGACTGGGTGAGCTGCACAAGGACACCGGCTGGCTAGCAGTCAAGAGTTGGGGTCACTCAGGTCCACTGCTACACTGCACTGGGGACCCTCCTGGGGTCAGTCTGGCTTTGGGGCAGGAGGCAGGCCCTGGGCAGGAAGGAGCTGGCCTGGAGAGCCAGTGCTCCACCCGGGCCTGGCTTGAATCAGCAGGTTTCCCACAGCTGACAGTGGTGGATTTCAGAATGACTTTAGCTGAGACTGAGGTGAATCAGCCATCACAACCACCACTTTCCATTTCTCACTGTGGGAGGGAAGAGCTACCAGGTCTGTAGTTAGCCGTGCTGGGATGCTGCTCATGCTATGGGGTCACCTCGACATGCAGCCGTCATTTGGCCCGGCACCACCTCCCCCAGCCCCTGGTACCCTAGACTCCCTAGCTGATCTTTCTGGCGTCTTCTTCGAGCCTTGGGTTTGCACAGCCCCAGGCCTCCTGTTGTAGAAGGGGCCCAGCTACCTTATCTCAGAGGCCAGAACCTTGGCCTCCAGCCTCTGGTCTCCTCAGCCCCTTCCTATCCCCGGCCCATACCTTGTTTCTGGCTGATGTCCACAGGGGCCTGCGTGGGGTGTGGGCTGCTGAAATGTTCGTAGAGAGGAGAGAGTTGGGGGACGCTGTGGGGGGGTTGGCTGGCCTTGTGCTGAAAACAAGAGGAGGTGGGGTGAGCGTGGGGAGCCCTGAGGGAGGAGGCCTGGGGCAAAGGCAGAGCTGCAGGCATGGGGGCAGCACTCCGTCCGCCCTGTGCCAGGCCTTCCTGTCCACTAGGCCCTCGGCTCAAGCAGTCCCGCCTCCCCAGAGCCCCTTGGTCTTCCTGGGCACTCCAGCAAAGCATGTCTCTCTTGTCCAGGGAGGTCTTCTTGGCCTTTTGGTAGCAGAGATGCCCGTTTCCCTAAGGTCCAGTGACTTATCTACAGGGCTGCTCACAGCTAGCAGCCACAGACGGCAGGCTCTGGAGCTTTCCTCCTCCAGCCCCAAGACTGGGCTTCCTGAATCTGACCCCGTCCCACCGCACCCCTAACTGGATGTGTTAGACTAGGGCAGGGCCCGCTCTGCCCCGACTCGGGAGGTAGGCCAGGCTCCCTGCAGCGCCAGGGTGCCCAGCCCCTGCTCTTCCGGTTTCCTCAGCACAGCCAGACTCACTTTCACACAAGTTGGTTGGCTCTCCATCCCGAGATGACTCAGTCAGCAGGCCAGGAAGAGGGCTCCCCACCAACCCGACCAGGGGCGTCACTGCCAGGCCTTGGCCCGGCTGTGTGTGTGCTCAGTGCAGACCAGGGCTCTGGAGACATCGACAGTGAGGCTCGGCTTCCCACCCAGGAAAGCTGGCTACTGGCTGAGAGCACGGGAGTGACCTCTGGCCCAGGTCCGGAAGAAACGGAACATCTCGGGGTCAGATGATGGTGGGGTGTGTGGCCTGTGCTCCCGGTTGAGATTCCCCCTGGGTGAACTTAGCCAGGTTCCTTCAGACTTTGGGGGATGCATGGAGCCGAGCACAGGTGCCCTGGGAGTCCAGGGTGAGGACAGAGCCCCTGTCGCCAGGACATGGCGCTCCCACATGGGCATGGGCTCCTTCCCTCCCACTCAACAGTGGCCCTGGTCTGACACCCTTCCCAGCTCTAAGGTGGGCCCTTCCCCAGACTTCTCTGTCCCTAGGAGACAGGAGTTGTGTTTCTAAGTGGCTAGCAAGGGAGAGAAATGGGCGGGAGGGGCTCGGGCTGTGTGGACACATGGCGCCCACAGGCCGGGCACCGTGTCAGCACTACACCCCACACCAGCTGCCGCCACGTCCTGCTTCCCTGCACAAACCCCGCACACCTGGCTGTCCCTGTTCCCGCCCCCAGTCCTCAGCTCTCCTCTCCCTTCACCTCAGCCAGACAGCGCTGCCCTGCGCCCCCCACGGGTGACCCTGGAGAGGTCCCGGCAACTTCCATGATGCTGGACTCAGTGGTCAGTGCTGGTTTCATTTCACCCAACATTTTGGCAGCATCAGCAAATTATTTCTCTCTCCTTGAAACCAAGTCTCTTCACTTGCTTTCTGAATGCCATACTTGCTTCCTTTCCCTCCAGCTTGACAGGCTGCTTCTTGGCCCCGGAGCTGGCTCCTCATTCTCATCATCTCCTAAGCTTTAGCTTTAAACATCTTCATCTGATGACTCCATGGTTTTTTTGTGTGTTTTTCCCTCAGCCCCGACTTGTCCTAGAAACTACTCTCTCCAAATCCCTGTTCAGCTCTGCTTGGAGGTCTAAAATGCACTCCAACTCAACACATCCAAGTCAGAACCTTTGACTTTCTGCCTAGCTGCTTTCCTGGCCCTGGCTTTTTCCTCTCAGGGCCAACGAGGCCAGCCCAGCTTGCAGAGGGAGCAGGGCCTGGGGACCAAGGGGCCGGTTCTCGGGAGACAGCCCCGGGGTCTCCACTCTACCCAGAGTGGCTCCAAGGCAGCGAGGGGAGCTCTGTGAGGTTCGTCCGAAAGCCACCCTAACCTGGGGGTGGCAGCCCTGGCCAGGAAGCCCCGGCGCACACGCCTGCCAGAAGGGTGCCAGAGCGGCCCCTCCCACTGAGCTGAGCCTGGCGTGGTCCGGCTTTGCCACCTGAGCCCCAGGTCACAGCATGGCCCAGCCTGCTGCGGATGGACGTGTGGGCCGAGCAGCAGGTAGGGCAAGGGGCTCCTCCTGTTTTCCAGCCTTCCTCAGGAACTAGGGAAAAGCCCCATTAAACAGCCTGCAGGGAACCCACAGAAGTGGGGCTCAGGCAGAGAAGGGGCGGGGCAGAGGACCCACCGGCAGCAGGAGGCCCATGGGTAGCCAGGGCTCCGCGTGGCGGTGAGGGCTCGCCAGCCCTTCCCACGTCAGCCTTCCTCCCCTCCCCGGCCCCTCCGTGCTGGCCGGGGGAGTCACCTGGCACAGGGCCCTTTGCCCCCTTGGCCAGCGGAACGTCCCGCTCCAGGGCCCCAGCACAAGGCTGGCTTCCCAGACGACAAGGTGGGGTTGCCGGAGGCCGAGCCTAGTGCCTGTGCCCTCCCTCTGCCTGAGGGTGACTGCCCAGCCCCAGGGAAAGAGGCAGCTGAGGGGTCCCCACCGCCCGGGGCGCCTCAGCAGCACAGCCGCCCTGCTCACTGGGGCAAAGGGCCTAACAGCCGCCTGGCAGGGAGCACGGCATGCTGCAGTGAGAGCGGCCCCGTCCTCCATCAGGCCTCCGCACCAGCCTGTGGCACCCCAGGACAGGTGCCCCTCCGGCCCCGGGCCCGGGGACTGCCTGGCTCCAGGGGAGGTGCTCCTGATGCTCCTGCTCCCAGGCCCATCCCCGCACCAACTAGAGTGCACGGCCTGAAGGGCGCCTCTGCCCCACGCTTTCGTTAGCCGGTGGAATTAATTCCTCCCTCTGGTGCCCCAGTGCCTTCCTGCTTTTCAGGAAGGGGCCAGGGCAGGGCCAGCGACGACGACATGTGATGAGGGACTTGGGAGGGCGCTCTCTTCTGCTCAGAAGGGAGCACGCAAGGGCCTGGCCGGGCCGCTCCCCCTCCTGCCGTCGCCCCACTTCCTGCAGGCTCAGGTGAAAAATAAACACAGTCTGCATTTTCCCTGCAGAGCAGACCGCAGCATCCCGCTGCTCACAGGCGGTGTGCAAGCTGAGAGCCCCTGCCACTGCCACCGCCACCACCGCCAGGCCAGGCGGAGAAACTCCCTCGCCTCTGACGGTTGACTGAAAACCCCCACACTTCTGAGCCCCACAACACTTTCCCAGTGAAGAAAGTTGCCATTTCCTCTGGGGTTTGGGGTGAAGGAGCATTTGAGGCCCAGCCTGGCCTCCCCAGGCCTCCCCTCCTGCTGGCAGGACAGGGACGGTGCCAGGAGCACACGCACCCCAGGACCTGCGGGCACAGAATCGGCCAGCTGTGACTGAGTGCCCACCAAGTGCTGGGCCAAAGGTCTGAGGCCGAAACAGCATCGCTAACAGTAGGTGAGTGCTTACTACGCACAGTTTAGGCCAGACCCTCCCACAAAACCTGTGGTGTATAAGGTAGTTACTATTCGCATTGGAGATGGGAAAACTAAAGCACAAGGTCACACAGCGAGGAAGTGGCAGAGCTGGGATGCCACCACTCCACTAGAAAGGCCCGTGGCTATGGCAGAAGAATGTCCCGTCTCCTTCTGCAGCCCGGCGGTCAGGGCTTCTATAAGGTTGTGGCCATACCTGGCAATGACCACTTAACATGGTCCCTAAGGCCCTGGGCGTGTCCCCCTGCCTGCCACTGCACCCAGCCACGTGGGCCAACTCCTCTTCCCAGGCACCCAGCTCTTCACTACTTCCATGCCTTTACCCATCTTTTCTCTTGCTTGCCTCCCCAGCGTTCTGCGCTTCCTCCTGCCCTGTGCCAGGTGGGCTCCTGATCCGAACCTGGGTCACCTCCCTGGAGAGGTCTGCGCCGGGGTGGGGGTGCCGCCAGCCTGGCAGGCACAGGCCGACCTGGGCACTGTAGCCCAGCGGGCAGTGGGCTTGCTGGTCATCTCCAGCCCAGCAGGTGTTCGCTACAGACTTTCGGAAGCCAGGCCTCTGGAATCCTCGAGCCTGCCCTACCCACTCGGCTGCGACTTCAGGTCCCCTGGGCCAAAGGTGGTTCCTAATGCCTGCTCCACAGCTGGGGAGAGGCCCCTGGGGAGAAGCCCAAGGAAGGAACCCCAGACGGGCCTCCTGCTCCTTCTGGGGCAGACACTGACAGCACAGGTGGGCCGTCGCCATGGTTACTGTGCTGTTTGCCAGGGGCCGAGCAGTGAAGCTGAGAAATATAAATGCCACACGTGACAACCCATTCAAGGAAGGCACTGTCCACATCTCCCACACGTGGCAAGCGAGGCTTGGAAGGTGAGAAAGTCACCTGTGTCGCGTGGCCCTCCCCCATCCGTGCCAGCCTCTTTAGGCTCTCAGCTCTCCCCACCTGCTCTGTGCTGCAGCCCAGGAGCGTGATGGCGCCAAGGGCGATGCTGTGCCCTCCGCCTGGAGCGGTCTCCCCCACTCGGCTAGGCCAATTCCCATAATTCCCACGCATCACTCAGGCTCCATATAAATGGGCTTCCTCCTGGCCGAGGCCTCTCCTGCCCTCACGTCCTGGGAGGGTCCGTACTACGCCTGCCCTCCCTGCTACAGCACAGACCCCACCACACTGTCGGAGCCTGCCTGTCTGCCTCTCGCCCTCCCTGGTGTCACTGTGCCCTGAATTGTTCCACTGCAGGAATTACAGCCGGGCCCTCAAGGCTCCCTCTCCAGCAGCATGCGGCACGGGCTCAGGGTGAGCAGTGTTCAGGGAGAACGTGGCAGCACTGGGTGAAGTGCTCTGGCCGGGGCTGGCCCAAGGTCACAGCAGCATGTTTGAGGGCTGGGAGAAGCTGAGACCACTTCAGCAGAGACGTCCTACCCGACACCGGAGAGCCCATGGCCCAGTCAGAATGGGCTGGCACTCGGTACCTCTGTTTGATGCCTGTGCTGGGGCATCGGGTCCCTCAGAGGACCCTTCCAGATCTCATTTCTCTTCCCTGTACTCCCGGGAGCCAGGCTCTAGGCCCTGGCTGGATCTGTCTCCTAGCCCGGCAGGCATGCAGGGCAGTTCAGGCCTGTCAGCCCCTAGGCAGTGCCAGTGGTGC